GAAACATGTCTTTCTATTCCTTGGTCTTCCTTAGCTGTACCATGGTCTTTCCCACTCAATTTATTCAAGCTGTTTGGATACAACTGCACAGTCTTGCAAATGCTCAGCTTTAAACATTGCTATCTGCAAGCTGGATGTGAGCTAAATCCATGGGTCAATGAGCATCCCTCGGTTAAATTTAAGTTGATTTATAAATAACAAAATAATGATTGAAGAAGTCCTGACATATTACTATTACCTCTCTGTAACATATTGGGTTTTCCCCCCCCTGTAGATTTCATATGGTTCATTTAAATCAACAGTGAGAGACTCAAGCCAGTTCTCTTCATTTTATCGCATCGTTCCCAGTGAAGCCCTCCAGTATGTGGGGATTGTCCAGTTGCTTCTCCATTTCAGATGGAAATGGGTTGGGTTAGTCACTTTGGATGATGAAGGGGGAGAATATTTCTTGCATACATTGGAGCCAATGCTTTCTAAGAGTGGAATCTGTGTAGCCTTCACAGAAAGGGCTTCAAGAATTATCCACCTGGATAACGCAGATGAAATGATGAATATGATTGGCATTAACGCTGAGGTTTTCCTGCAGAGCAAAGCAAATGTAATTGTTGTATATGGAGAAGCTGAAATCATTATGCTTCTAGGAAATACTCTCTGGGTCATCAGATATTCTCAACAGTTGGAGTCAACATCTAAAGGGAAAGTGTGGGTTACAACTACCCAGACTGATTTTGCAATCGCTACTTTTCAAAAGGGATTTGACATACAGATTTTCCATGGTGCTATTTCTTTCACAATTCATTCAAATGCAGTCCTAGGATTCCAAAGATTTCTTCAGATTAAAAAACCCTACTGGACTAAAGAGAACAGTTTTAATAAAGACTTCTGGGAAGAAATATTTGACTGTGAATATCCAGATTCTCTTAATCCAACCAATCCTGATAAAACATGTACTGGAGATGAGAAACTGGAGAGTGTTCCAGCAACATTCTTTGAAATGAGCATGACTGGACACAGCTACAGTATCTACAATGCTGTCTATGCTATAGCACATTCCTTGCATGTCTTGTATTCATTCAGGGCCAAGCATGCTGCTGTGGAGGATGGGGACAGGCCAGCTTTTCTGACCATTGAGCCCTGGCAGGTAATTTATCCCCACTGCTAAAGATCCTTCTCATATATTGCAATATGTTCAAATTATGAATGGAACACAAGAATTCACCTCTGGTTGGGCTTCTACAAAAACACAAAATCTATCATTTCATTCCTGCAATGGGTATCTTACTGAGAGTTCTGTAAGCAGACAAAGAAATTGAGGACTTTACAGTATCTTGTTGTAACTGGTATTTAAAATAGCATCATGTCTCTTCAAGCGTGAAGTAGTTGCATTTATAAACTACTTCATTTTTCAGATTCTAAATCCTTCTAGAATTGTTTTTTAAAAAACCATGGTGAATATTTCAATACAGTATCATCTATTTGATCAGCCTTCTTTTTTTACCTAGCTCCATGCATTTCTTCAGAGGATCTCATTCAACAATGGTGCTGGAGATGAAATTATGTTCAATGATCATGGGGAACTGGTAGCTGGATTTGACATTACCAACTTGATCATTTTCCCTAATAACTCCTATATCCGAGTCAAAGTTGGAGAGCTGGAGGCTCGGAGTCTTCCAGGAAAAGAGCTCACCATTCATGAGGACAGAATTGAGTGGCACAGGGACCTCAGTCAGGTGGGAAAGAGCCACATTCTCTCTCAAATGAAGATCCATTGACAGTGAATTTAAGGGAAACAAAAAGAACCCTTTCTTCACACAGTGTTTTGTTGACATACAACATTTACCAATGTGGCACATAATGAAGGCACGATTGGTTTGACCAAAGATGGAAAGTTTAATCTTTGGGATCTGTAGTGTCCTTTGGACAGTAAGTTCTCTTCCCGGTGAATGTGCCATCTGTGAGGTCAAGAACATTGTATTCATGTATCATGGGACTTATTGCTGATAATATACAATATATACATCAGTTGTAAAGGCAGGTTAAAGTAAGGTCTAGATGTTGTTTCTGAAAGTACTGGAAACATCTGGTAAGTGTAGCAAAATCAAGAGAATTTTTCACAAAATGTTGCAAGAGGTGAGAGTTTCTGAACAAAGCCATTATTGGCTGAGATTGGTCAGAGAAATTTCATGTGTGTTTCTGATCTTCAGCTTTCATGCAATGCATTGAGTGTGTGTGATGTCACAGCTCCTTCAGGAACAAAACATAGTCTATGTCTGGCCTCATTAGTAGCACCGGTGAATGATCCATGTCTTCAGATCAGTAAGTGAAATTTGGACTTGTTAACTTTTCTTGAACTTTTAGTACCTATTCTTCACTGTTTAGTGCATGGGATTGTATACACAGCTCTGTCCTGGATTATGTCTTTTTGGTACAGAGCAAAGTTAGAGTCCAGTGGAACTTTTAAGACGAACAAAGTTTTATTCAAGGTGTGAGTTTTTGTGTGCACGCACACTTTGTCAGACAATGAAATGGAATTACAGATCATACTTGTATATATACAGAGTGGCTTGTTAAATTAGCATGCAAAATATTGAAGTGTTTTTAATAGATAAAAAGAATGACAAGCTTGGTTTCTGATTATCATCTTTTGGGTTCAACTGGGGGGGAAACAACATACGTAGGTAATAAATACGTCAGAACTGTGAGAATTCAGTCATTAGATCCCATCCATCTCCTTTCTAGCATGGAGGCAAAATATAAAGCATTTCTCTTGTCCCCAGTATAGAGAATTACAGTTAAATCTACCATTCCAAATTATTTTACATATTCAATTATATTTCTAATTTTTAAGTGTAGTAAACTGAGATTGTTTTTTTTTTTTAAAAAAAATAACTTTCTTCGCTAAAACATGGAATTAACTGACAGAATTGTTTTCCTGGGGTGCAGTGTTATGTCAGAGATCAACAAAATATTGCATTGCATTACAATCACTATTATAAGATACTATTTAAAAAAACATTAAAATATAGGGGATGTATATAGGGGATTTTAATGGAAGGAGGCAATCCTTCAAGAACTCTTGCCCAGTAGTAGCTATCTGTGTTTGGAAAGATTCATGATTCCTACTGCATTCCAGAAGATTCTGGGGATTATTAGGATTCAAAATGAATACTTTGCTGAGGCTGCAGTGTAAACTTTGAATGCAAAGCTTCTAGAAACAATTAATAAGGTTCCGCCGCGTGGACCTCTCCCACACTTTGGGTGGAACTTGGGCCCTTGCTTTACCATGGAGTTGGGTGGTCACCAAAGGGCTGGCAGCTATCTAGAAAGAAGCTGGCAGAAAATTAAAGTTGACTCCAACACAGCATGCTATAGTGGTCACAGGAAGACCTACAAGGCAGCTTTGATAGCAGCAAAGTAACATTATTTCTCTGTTATCATTGTGTCACTGACTTCATTTATTGATTAATTCACACCATTTATAGTCTGCCTTTCTCACTGGGACTCAAGGTGGGTTACACAGAGTGAGTAAATACAATTGATAGGATTTGGGACTTTCAGTAAACTATGAAATAGGATTTGGGAGGCAGTGATTCCTTGATCTGGGTAGTCTTTCCTATTGTAGCTCCAACCCATGTTTTTGCAGTTAGGGAACCCTTTGTAATTTTATTTTATTTTACTGCTAAATATGAAGATTTTCCACTATCCAAAAGGTACATAGCTATTAGTGCTCTGCAAAGTAGTACTGTATTTCTATAGTCATTTAGTGATTTCCAGTAATCAATCGATCTTTATTGCACTAGCAAAAAAGAAAAGCCCTAGAAACAATGTACTATACAGAAAAAATATGGAAATGTCCAATAAGATAAAATCTGAAAAAGAATAAAACAATAAAGAATTGGACATTTTTACAGGCGGCATTAAAATACAAAGTAATCATTAAAAATATGTGTAATAATAAAAAGGAAGGCTGTACAGTCCAGAGACAAATTAAAAAATGACAGCAAGCCTAGAGTGGAGCTGTCACAGGTCAGACATACTTTAGTCAGCATGCCCCATCATCTTTTTCTTCTTTATGACGGCAGCAGCAAATCTTGCCATTTGGAAAGTAATGAATGTGTCCCTCTCTGCCAATAATATGACTAAATTCTCCTGATCTGACATTTCTGGTAAGTGGGATATTACTGTCCACACAAATCTATTACATTCTGCCCAGGGGTCATTTTGTAGAAAAAGAGGTGCAGGAGCTCATTAGCATAACTCATGTGCATAACTCATTTGCATATGCCACACCCCCTGACATCACTGGAAGTGTGTCAGAAAGCAACACCCACCGCTCAGGCTCCACTGGACTCTTTTGGATTGCCAGCTATGGAGGGGGGAAGTGCAGATCTGCCCTCAGAGGGGAGGGAGAGATTTGGGATGTTCTAAAAGGAAGGAGAGGATTGCCCATTGGAAACAATGGGAGAGACTTGAAGGCCCATTGGAAATAATGGGAGCCACGAATGCCAATTGACTTGCGTGGGCTCCATTGAAATACATTACAGCTCAAGAAGAGTTGCAAAGAAAATTCAGAATGGATTTTCCATTAAGGTCTCTGGTCCCAAATACACTGCTCTGGGACTGGAATGACAGACCCCAGAGTGGAATGACAGCCCCTGGGGGTAGCAGATGTGTTCGGAGGGTAGAATGACAGGTCCCATAGTGGTATGATAGCCCCTGGGGGTAGCAGGAGTATTCTGGGACTGGAGTGAGAGTGGCCACAGTAGAATGACAGCCCCTGGTAGGAGCAGGAGTGTTCTGGGATTGGAATGACAGGCCCCAAAGTGGAATGATACCTCTGGGGATAGCAGGAGTGTTCTGTGACCTGAATAACAGGCCCCACATTGGAATGACAGCCATGGGGGTAGCAGTTTTATTTATTTATTAAGATTTATACCCCACCCTCTCCGCAGAGCGGGTTCAGGGCGGCTTACAAGGGGCAAAGCCCATATAAAACAGATAAAAGCAATAAAGCATTCATGACAGTTGTTCTGAGGGTGGAATGACAGGCCCCAGAGTGGAATGATAGCCCCTGGGAGTAGCAGGAGTTTTCTTCGACTGGAATGATAGGCCCCACAGTGGAATGACAGCCACTGGTAGGAGCAGGAGTGTTCTGGGATTGGAATGACAGGCCCCAAAGTGAAATGATACCTCTGGGGATAGGAGGAGTGTTCTGGAACCTGAATAACAGGCCCCACATTGGAATGACAGCCCCGGGGGTAGCAGTTGTGTCCTGAGGGTGGAATGACAGGCCCCAGAGTGGAATGATAGCCCCTGGGGTAGCAGGAGTCTTCTGGGACTGGAATGACAGGCCTGACAGTGGAATGACAGCCCTTGGGGATAGCTGATGTGCTCTGAGGGTGAAATGACAGGCCCCACAGTGGAATGTATCTGCCACCCTCAGGGGCTGTCATTCAAGTCCCAGAGCAGTGTATTTGGGACCAGAGACCCTAATGGAAAATCCATTCCACATTTTCTTTGCAACTCTTCTTGAGCTTTAATGTATTTCAATGGAGCCCACGGAAGTCAATTGGCATTC